TATCTTTATAGTTATCGTCCTTGGTGTGAACGGGCCTTAACACCGATGTCTGAATTCCACACCTGATTCTGTAGTGAAAACTCACCGCTAGACCCTCGTCCACATCTTTAACACAGCCCTGCACATAAATTTCAGGTGGAACACTGATCACACAGCCATGCCTTTGTTCTTCTGCCCATTTAACCCTTAGAGCTGAAAAAAAGACAAAGAAAGAGGGATGAAGACATCACAATGAGAGCTCTAGCAACAGCTCATGTCGTGAACGGGATATCTCACCAATTCCACTCCAGGGCAGGGTGGGGATTTCTGCGCTCTGAGCAACGATGGAAGATGCCACCTTGTCTCCTAATGCCCACATGGCTTTACTGGATGGTCCTGAAAAAGACAACCACATCAATAGCCTTTGTCCTCACCTAGCAAGGCTAAGCTGTCTAAACAGGTCTTAGATAATGAGATGAAATACCTAGGAAAGATATCCCTGATTTATGAAGAAGCTCTGGTAGTTTGGGGTTCTCAGAAGCATGACCCCATCCAGCCCAAACCGCCTTATAAGACAACAAGACCATCATTGATAATGATGGAAAATACACATCTTTGAGACAGATATTGGACAAACTGTACCTGCACTGGAATCCTTTTGGCTATATCCACAATCATCTCAACATTGGCATAGTTGTTGTTATTTGGGCCACCGGGGACTGGCACATAGTGATCAGCCATTTTAATGTATTCTGGAGAAAGAAAGTGTGAAATTTAGATTAAAACTGAAAATGAATGCCTAGAACCAAAAAAAATAAATAAATGTAATTAAATAACAAACTATGCATATACAAATAAAGTTGCGTTTCAGGTTGAACAATAATTTTTCTTGTCTGTTAACCTGCATTGGCTTTCAAGTCTTCAGGTGTGACCATCACCACAAAGCGAATGATTCTCTCATTACGGAACATTTCATAGGACCAGCGTCGAATTGAACGCATGCATTTAACTGCAGCAATGCCATTATTAGCAATCAGCACCTAAGATGAGAGATATATATTAAACTCTTTTTTTTACAGCTGAAAATGAAGTAAAACAACATACACATAAAGGCATGACTCAAACCTTGTCTATAATGCGGTTTCCTCCAAAGCGAGTGACAAACTCAGCTGGGGAGGCAACAGTGAAATCTCTGTGCACGTCCATCTTCCTGTGTTCTTTGCCCTTTTTCAGCAGGTGGGGGCCTGACATGCTAGGCCTACAGGCAAAAAACATAATTTTAATTATTTAAACATGCACAATACATTTCAAAAAGGAAGCTGGGTAGGGCTTCGATAACAAATAATGTAAAGTCTACATGAATGGGAATGTAACGTGGAAATTGCTGTAACAGAAAAGTTTTACGTAAGCCTTCATGAGAAACATCAACAAAGCAGCATTT